CTGTTTGTCTCTTTGTTGCTTTTTAACAAGTTTGCCGCTTTCCTAGCAGTCGGGTAAAAGGAGCAAAGCAAAGTAAAACAATATAAATATACATTCTTAGTATACGATGCCCTTTATGTTTTTCGTTTCCATTGCAAGTAATAGAAATTTCAATATTCCATATGCACGCTGAAACTTGACTAATACATTCTGAATTCCGTAGTTCCAGTTCTAACTCTCGTCAGCAGAGCGCCATAACGTCGTGAGGAACAATTTGCCACTCGCATTTTTCTGTAGAAATGTTCACGGGTGAAAGGAGAGAGAGTAAGTGAATTTTAAGAAAATATTCTCCACAAAGACATCATAACTGACATAAATATTTCATGGCACTATACAGTTTAAAGCACAGCTCGGCTTCATTGCGAAACAACCCTTCTTAAAACAAATGCCTTTTGTTTTTGTTACCCACTAACAACAGATCTACCAAGAACATCCAGAATGACATCATCCAGCTCACCAGACGAACCACCATACTGCAGAGTGTACAAGGGACACCTTGAGCTGTACATTGGTCGCTGTGCTGAGTGGTGGGTTCTTATTCCTCTCGAACAGCAAGTGATCCGACACCAACTTATGTGCACTCCATACATCCCAGATACCATAGAAAGAGGCAAGAAGGTCGAAGTTCATCTCCATATCCATGCGGACCTTCCTGGGATGGACACGGTAAGCACAACGCACCGGCAGCATAAAGAATCATAGCATTGTGTAGCGGTGTAGATTGGGTCAAGCATTGAGAGGACACTGGTATCATTGGCGGGGGCACCAACATATTATATGCAACTGTATAAGAAATAGGAAGGAACTACATCATAGATTGAGGCAAGGGTGTAGGAAGGATGAAGTTATCCTCTTCCCTTTCCGTTCGCTATATACCCTTCTTTTTCTCTGTCCCTCTTCCTCTTTTGTCGAAACATGCTATATGTTTACCCGTATTCAACACATCTAAACGACTGTATTTACACATTCAGGCATTTCAAATTGATCACGCCTGTAATACGATGCCGTATCGATTTGCCGCCATTACGATCGAAATTCTTAATGCTTTGTCTCTCAAAATTTAGGTGTAGGCTACTTGTATTAAGTTTGAATAATACTTTTTACATGAATAAGATTCCCTTCGTGACGTTTGAACATGCACTTAATACTATTTTCGCACAGGAGGTTCAAGAGGAGGAGAAGAAGCATTCATACCACAAGGTTCATCCCTCGGTTCCAATCAGTATTGCAACAAAGTCTGGTGACGTTCAAGTCACATGCTGTCGTCAGGATGAGTTTCAGCAAAGGAAGGTAATTAAGTTGACATTGCATTTTTATGTTTTCTTGTTATCCGCCCGTCCAGCTTTCTTGATAACGAGGGATCTCAAGAACTACTTCAAATATGAAAGTCAAACGTGGTGATATTAGTGTAGGAAAACGACCTAGTTAGTTTTGGGGGAAAGTAGGTCAAAGACCAAAGGTCATAGAGGTTAGTTTCTGAAAATACAGGTTTTAGCCTCGTTATCACAATATTTCAAGAACTATTAGATGTATGAGCTTCAAACCTTGCGAAAGTGTGTATATTCCTTGGGAGACGATCTGATTAGATTTTAGAGGAAGAGCTCGATGAAGTCATAATATTTCACGGTGAAATGTGCGGAAATGAGAATTGCACGAACGGTAGATGTATACTTTTCGACTGCTTGCATTCAAAAAGCTCTTGTTCCTTACATACATTTATCTTTAGTGGTTTATACCCTGTACGTCAGTTAGTCATTTATTCATTGTACGGTTTTGAAAATTAACTCCCTATACCGATTTCAATTTTCGGAATATTACTCGTTAGTGCGATTATGACTATTATAATTATTTTATAATTATTCTTTCCTGATCAGCAGTTTTATAATAAATATGATTACTATAATGAGGATAATGCAAAATGATGATTAATATTATTATTACCATTAACATTATTATCACCATCATTGTTATTATTATCACCATCATTGTTATTATTATCAATATCATTTTTCAGTCTGGACAACAGGTTCTCTCTCAAAAAGATATTCAAAGCAAACTGAAACACAGCTTTTTACTACCCGTGACTTCGCGTGAGGAGAATACAAACTTCCCAGTAATTATCACGATTACACAGGCTGGAAAGGTCGGGGCTTCATTATCTGTTGCTTTCTTAATCAGATACTCAGGTATGTATACTCCATATCTATTTATCATGGGCATTATGAAGTTTGGATGAAGCATAATTATAACTAAAAAGTGTTGTATGAGTTTAAATCATTATGAATAAATTAGAATAACACAATCGCAAAGAATTTCAAATACTGAAACTATTTCAATTTCCACGGCCTTGTGAATCACCTATTAAATGTGCAAACATACCAATGAAATGAGCGTTACACATAAATACTGGAAATGCGCTCGACTTGATTTCGTCACAACTCTTTGCAATCGTGCTGAATTGTACTCCTATAAAGAAAAAAGTGTTTGGAAAGACAAGAACCCAAATACATAACCTTGTTAATAGCATAGCTTGAGTGGTAGCATAGCCATATCATGGTGATTTATTGGTATGGCACGATGCATTATAACCTCTGGTTTCCGTCGAAATGTCAGTCAGTACATTTCTTGAGAAATACTGCCACCAAAAGTTAACACCCGTCGGAAAAACATAATCGGATTTATAGCGGTATACTCTACATGATTCTTACAGTACCTTGATAAGGTGACTCGTGATTAGAGTTTACTTATCAAGTCAGTACACATCGATACATCAATTGCTATATTTTTCTCAATTTTTGTATTTATATCACAGATGAACTGAAGTATGAATCTTCCTTAGAACCTGCTTCCTTCGTAGGGTAAGCTTGCATTTGGACCATTATTATTAATTCGCAGCTTTTTCAATTAATGTTTTTGCCAATGAAATGAATTTTACATTCATACCGCTATTATCAGTGGCAGCATGGGTATTAGGGGCGGGGGAGGGGGTTGGTGGTGACGGAGACAGGGGAGGGAAGGTGATTTCTGTGTTAATTTCGTAACGACTTTCTTCACAACTCACCACCCCCATTCTCACTTATCCACTGAGCGAGTTTTGGCCAGCAGCTGACATGGATTATAAATAGTAAATTTCATCGGAAAAACAAATAGAGCCACTTCAGCGAAGTCAGAGACCATTAATTGTGTATTAAATTCTCCCTGGTAATTCGACTTCAATCGGGTGTTTATCCGATGATATGTGTTGTGATTCACCCAGGGGGAGTTTACTTTTTTGACGAAAAGTTCATATGTCATGCACTGGGCCCTCGGTTTATCATCCCGTCGTCATAAATTCCCCCTTCCCATCGATATTTCGAGGCAATTTAACTGAGCTGGTTGAAAGCTTTCTGAAGTGTTCTCTTTTATAATTATCATTACAAGTATTACAATTAGTAGTATTTCCGTTATAAGTATCATTAACATTTTCATTGCTGTTGCTCCTGTTAATTATAATTAATGCTACATCTGTATTATCGTATTACTGCGACACCTTTATCTCGTTTTTCAGGGTAGTTGAAGAAGTTTTGAAGAGTGATCTAGAAGATATTGATGTCATCACTATTGCTGAAAAGATGACAGTGGATCAGTTCTATGATCTGGGGGTAGCTCTCGGTTTCCGAATTCAACAGTTGGATGTCATAGAATACAGGAGGTTCAGAGACAGACAGCAGGCAACCTATGACATGTTGGTAGAATGGCGTCGGGCACAACCCTCTGGTCAACAAGCAAAGGAAACGTTACTTTCACTCATGAAATCTTTAGACTCACCTGGTGAAGAGATGGAGATAACAGGTTTGCCAATGTCAATCTAACATCCTTTCAACCCTTCTTTTCCACTTAAGTTTTTTACAAGATTAACGTTATTGATTGTGTTGTCGATAGCTATTAGTATGCTACCAATATAGAAGAATAAGGGGGTATGAATACGTTAATTTATTCCAAAAGGGTAACAACAAATACGAAGCAAATGTCTACCTGAAGGTATTCAACCTAACAAAGAAAGAAACAATGAAACAATGAGGGCACTTATGTTCAAAGTAATCCTATACGTTTATGAATGTGTGATGATCTCTTAAAATATTTCGTATGATTTATTTCACATTATCTCATAGTCATGAGTTAAAACCGTATGTATAGTTGTCACAGAAAAGAGTAGATTATCCGGAAATTGTAGTTTACTCAAATTCTTCTAATTGCAATATCCTGAAGAAATATATATATTTTTTTAAATGTAGTTTTACTAATTCTCGCTGCTTAATTATCAAGCACTTAAAAAATTCATGACAGAATAGTTAGGGAGGAGAAACAACTTCAGACCAACCTTGCTATCAGCTTAAAAGTTAAAATAGTCTCCTCTTTATTTCCTTATATCCTTACATGTATATCGTCTCCTTAACTTGATCTACGTACGTCAGACATCGGTTCTGCTGGGTGAGTCTATAATTCCAATTCTTCTGTCTCTTTGTACTTGTTTATATTGGTACAAGTACATAATACGGTAACAATTTAGTCACTTTAAACTAAGTACATGGAGAGGTATAATACAATATTATGTGTATTCGTCAAAGGAATATGAGTATACTGGAAGATTGCATTAACTAGAATAGTACAAATTTAAACTTTAGATATGACACTGAGTGAAAACAGAAAAAAGAGGAAAGAAAGGAAGATGAAGGGGGAGGCGAAAGAAAGACAAAGAAAAAATTGAATATATACATGCTTACGCACAGTGGCGGATCCAGGGGGGGGGGGGGCCCGGGGGGGGCCGCGCCCCCCCCCCCTTGAGAAAAAAATCATGTAAAATCACGTGATTTTTACCTTTTAGGGGGGTTGGGCCCCCCCCCCCCCCCTGGCGCTCAAGGGGGGGGGGGTGCAAATTGAAAAAATTTTGAGGATCAAAAAAAAAAAAAAATGCGATCAGGATGATTCTTGCATTCTCCAGGAAGATCAAACCACAACAGTTTTCCGAGATTGGCGAAAAGCTGGGTCTCAAGAAGACAGAGCTTGAACACATACAACACCGGACACTGTCTAACAGGAAAGACGCTAACATCCAAATGCTTTCCAAATGGAAAGCATCTCAAACATCAGGGAATGAAGCGATTCAGACTTTAAAACTTGTTTGGAAGTCTGTCCAAGCAGTACCGAATGTGGAGAACCTAGAAGGTATGGGTGTAACGCTTAAAATCATGCCAACTTTTTTGTGAAACGCTTTATAGTATTTCTTTTTGTTTATCCAGGACTTCGTGGAGGAAAATCTTGAGGATAAGAAGAATCCGTGCAATAATCTGCAAATGCACAATACATGTTTACATGCACCAGTTTCAATAGAGTATTCAGTCGAATAGACAATAGCATGTACAATAAAAGGGAACCATGTTAGAGTCTCTTGAGAACGGGGAGGTCACTTTTTGACACCATTTATTAGGATAATATATTTCTCTAAATGTGCAGAAATATGTAAGATTTTCACACATTCCATGGCGTGTTATAAAGTTGTATAAATGATTTTAAAGCGACGATTTTAGATTACTACGTTTAGGTAATGATGTGTCTTTTTTCAGACGAAGGTAGTTCTCGTGAACTAGAACCAACTCCTGTGGAAAAGACAAAACCAAATGAACCTTGTGAGCCTGAAGATATGGAGATCATTGTAACTACAGCTTGTGGTAAGTAGACTCACAATTTAGAGGTCCATCTTTGTGTAATCATAAAAGCGTATGAACTTCATGTACTGTTAATGTCATCATAATAGTGATATTGAGACTGTGTAAAGAAAGAGTAGTTCTTAATCTTCCTTTACAAATGTGTGTAATATCAAATCGGTATGGATAATCGATTCAATATCTCGAACCAAACTTAGGCTATAAAAATTAAACAAAGTCACCTATACAAAAAACTGAACAATTTTCATAACATAAAGTGTTCTATTTTAAATCAACGAATCATATTTCTTCAAAGATGATGTTCCCAGTGTATCTCCGGGAAAGCATTCGGAGTCTCCTCAGGACCTTGATCGACATGGTGGAGTACCAGGCACAGAAGAGCTTTGCAGCGTCGCCCTTTCAGTGAAAAGCCTTTCAACTGCATGTTCACTCGGGAAAGCCCTCCGTGTAAATGATGACGTCATTGTTGGATCCATCGATCTACCTAGTTTGTCAATACTCCATAAGATCGCAGGAGAGCTCGTAGACAGTTGGCAGAATGGTTTGAAAAAGGAAGAGCAAGAAGATAAGTTCGCTAAGCTTCTCTCAGAGTACAATATCCCAGATGTCAAAGCAGGTTAGTGAGAATCAAGCCTCATTTAATTCGTAATCGTGTTGATAACAAAAAATAATAATCAATATTTACCCTTTCAAAAGAAAAAGTTTCAAGTTCAAACTTGCATTTCATTTCTTTTTCACATTCCATTAATTTCATTTATTGACATGAAGGCAATAGGAAAATAATACAGAATTATGTATATTATACAGTAGTAGAGACGAATTTTAGTAGGTAAACATTTTTACCAAAATATATTTTAAAACCATGAACACTACTTTTGGTTTCTTAAAATTGTCCCTACATTCATCAATGTTTTACATTTGATTTCACTATTTTAAGACGACAGCAATATCTTCATTCATCACCATCGTTATGGTTTTTGCATTAAACTACATATTTTCTTTCCTTCCTAGTGACATAATATTATGCATTTGTGTCATTGTCTACAGGCCGTGAAAAAATATCAAAAGCCATTGTAACCAAGACAGACCTAGTGGACTTGTGTCATCGCCTGAACGTTAAACCTTCTGGCGTTTTGCAGATCATGAGCAAATTTGTGACCTTCCCGTCTCACATGATTGGCCGTAGTACTCTAAGGGTGCTTACAGAATGGGTACACCAAGGTGGGACTAGAGAGAGGCTTCTGGAAATTGCTCAGGCTTTCCGTTTTAACGATGCAGCAGTAAAGATAGCAGAAGGTAGTGCCACTGTACAACTACACCGCATTTCACATTACATTAGATTGTGTAGGCCTATTTGATCAGTGGAAGAAAAACAAACTTTGACAGATTCATTATTTTCACTTACTATTGCCTGACTATAACAGAAACCCACATTCATAAAATCGGCAGGAGCCTGTGCACTTTTAACTTACTTTAAACCATCTTGCTAGATGAGGAAACACGCAATTGAAAGGAACTTATCACTTTACCAGTTATCTTTCAGACCTAAGAATTGACCTTGAATTTTCCAGAATATCTCGGGCTTTTGCTATACTGATGTCTATCTTTTAAAACATTGAGTATACTTTACTCTATACAACAGAGTCCCAATGAAATAAATTTGGAAAAGCGAGATTACCATTAAAAAAAAAAAAAAAATTACATCCTGACTCGAGATTGCTCATTTTTATTCAAACTCTACATGCAAACATGCATTACAAAACACTTCTTTCCCAATCGCTTTTCAGTAAAAACACTAACAAAAGACTGCCTTGGAGAAAAAAACTTGGCACAACTTGATTATGTTATATGTAAATTGTAATCTATTTGCTTCATGTTTCATATGGGGATTATAAATGACTTTTTCCTTCTCATCCTCCTTAGACATGAAATGCCAACCAAGCTATATACCTTTCCTCTCGCATGGCATCATTGATCACAAGGGTGGAGAACTGACCCTTGATGAACTTGGTACTGCCGTTTCTATCCCTGAAGGAGCTATACCTAAAGGGATGAGATCAGTTGTTACTCTTCGCGTGTCAACTCCTGACACTCTAAGGCTTCCTGTACGGGAGGGTGAGGTAGTCATTACACCAGTCGTAGAAAGTTCTCTGACACAAGAACTGTTAAAGCCTGCCACAGTGGTATTACCACACTGCACCAATCACCATGAACGTAAAGACGACTATTCTGTTATCTTGTACACAAGAACTGGACCAGGTACAAAGTCATTGACATATTTCGACTCTGTTCTCTTGAAAAAAGTAACCTTCTTAACTTTCAATTTGAATCCTAATAATGTGACCAATGAGGTAAATAATTGATTTCAAATCCCAAATATATAATAATCTTCCGGTAATGAGAATCCCTTTTTTAGAATAATAAGCCGGTTCAGTAAAATTTAATGATTTTTCATTAATAAAGAAAAATTACCTCTATGCCATTTGAATCAACTCCCTGAACAAAGGTTAAATGAAGTCAAATATCAGAACATGAACTGAGTCGAAATCAATTCCTACTCTACTAATAAGCCTATATCATAGGGAGTAAGATAATATAATCAATATTTGTTTTCCTCTCTTATGCAAAGGAACTTTCGGTCGTAGGAACTTGACTCCATCACAAATCTCAAAAGATAAGATAACGTTTTGCACACGTCATCTTCAAGTCTTGGCTCTGTCATCGACTGATCTTCAAGAACTCCAGCTGAGATGTGTAGTCTTCCAGCCTGTATTCATGACTCCTGCAGAGAGACCAACTCTACGTGTGTACTTACTTCATCCCTATATGAACCGTATAGAGGTATTTATATCAGATGATCTTTTTCTACCATCTGAGGGCGCCCTTTGATACTGTGATTATTAAATGGTGCCTCTGCAGACTGTTCAGGCTTATGGTTGCACTGAACAATTTACCGAAGAACGTTTTATTATTTCGTTAACAGTATCAGACTACAATATCAGATCATAATTACGAGAAAAAAAAAAGAGGAAGGGAAGGCAAAGCAAGTGATGAGTCTTGGGGAGGAGGAAAATGAGGAGGAAAGAAGGGAATGATATGTGTTAGGGAAGGGGGATGATGGAAATATTAGAAGAATGGAAGAGGAAGGGAGGAAGGGGTGAACAGATGGAGAACACTTCTTTTCCCCCTCAACATTCACCCCCCCCCCCCCTTGAGCAAAAAAAATATTAAATTAATAAATCCCATTTTTGTCAGGGGGGGGGGGGGCATAGATAAAACACAGGTAAAGGGTGTTTTTGACATTCCCAAACACCCAAAGCTCCCCCTGTTGTTCAAGGGGGTGTTATTGAACACCCATAACACCCCCCCCCGCATTAATACGCCAATGGGATACATATTGTAATAGCACGTGTGAAGGGGGGGGGGCAGTACTTTAAAGTTTAAAATCTGTATGCTGAACTATGACATCAACGAAGTATCTACTGTGCCATTTTGAGCAATCTTGTACATTATCTTACTGCGATGCTTGTTGCTTCAGACGGTAATTATGGATGAATACATAAATTGACAGTTCATACATGACGTAGGGTTTTGTGACCAGCCTTTCCCTAGTGGAGGGGAGTGGAGCTCATTGAAATATGGATGTAGAATGTTTTGGAACTGCATCACTTTGAATGGCATGATAGGCCTAGCTGTTATTTACTGTGAGCATTCAGCTATAGTGCCATAAATATATTTTAAAAAACCCAGATAGATGACATATTTTGGGACCGAATTCTTCATTAATATTAAATTTTTGTTCTGGTTGTTTATTCAGGATATAACACGAACAGAGAAGAGTTCTTCTGTTCCCTACTGCCGGGTCATGAAGGAATTCACGTTCTCTATAGAGTCAGAAGCAAGGGACCTAAACATTGTGTTCGACGACGGGACGAAAAGAAAGGAGAGAACGGTGAATATGCCTGATTTTTTTCCATAAGGTCCGTTAAAACTTCTTCTTAGATGTTAATTTTTCAAGTTGAATTCTACACATGACCTTTAAAAAAAGTGCAACAATAAGCCATTTTTAAGTTATGTTTTTCTTAAACGGTCACTGAATTATCAAGCCTCTTTCTTAATTTCGAAATTGGAGGATATCCTCGATTCAGATATGTTCCCTCTGCCGATCATTTTTCTCCCTCACATATGCACATGCTAACATAATGTTGTAATGTTTATTTTTATTATCAGTATTATATACTCATTTTTTATCATATTATTATTACCGTTGTTGTTTTTGTTATTGTTCTTTTTGTTAATATCATCATTATCATTTATGATTAATATCATTATCATCATGACATTTTTTTATTATTACTGTCATCGTTATTATAATTATTCCAACGATATTCAAACCAAGATACCCATCAAGAGTATACTCAGTGGAAAGTGCAGCCCTTTGAACTTCGAGCTTCAGTTCTCTCCTGAAGAGAAAGGAAAGAAGAACGGTCATATCGACATACTACAAGGGTCAGCAAAACGTGCAGAAAAAGAGTTCATTGTTTACAAAGAAGGTAAGCCAATATTATCAGGAAGAAGGATATTATGTGTCTTTCACATCATCAAATGTAGCTAGATACTTCAAAGACCTTACGTCAGTCATTTATGTAATGAGTTGCCTCAAAAACTTTACACAAGTCATTTATTGTAACTAGTTACCTCAATGATCCTACCGAGTCCTTCATGTTGCCAGTTACCCCCAAAACCCTACATAAGTCTATTATTGAACCAGTTACCCAATGACCGTACATACCGTTATGTCATTTCTGTATCATGATATCTTTAATACCCTACATAAGTCATTTATTGTAACCATTGATCTCAAAGACTGTACATGAGTCATTTCTGAAAATAGTTACCTGAAAAGCCCTACTATACATATGTACATGAGTCATTTCTGAAAATAGTTACCTGAAAAGCCCTACATATTTTTCATTTACGTAACTCCAATGTATCCCAGTTATTCTGCGCATTCAATAAGAATAATTTAAATTAATATCATTTATATAAAATATAGCATACACTGAATGCCAATTTTTTTTTTAATCAAAGAATGGCTGTAGGGTAGCCCTGTTCGGGTCTGAAATAATAATAATAATAATAATAATAATGTAACTTATATCGCGCCAAATCCACTCTGTTTCTAGCAAAATTCTTTCCACTCTCGTATCCTCTGAAATTCTGAAAAAGTTGTTTAAAACAAAACCATTGGATTATTTTTCTTTCAAAACACATCTATTTATTTTTAATACATAGCAATTCCGAATACTGAAATAACAAATTTATTCCTATTGTATTGCTTTATTCTGTTTAATGCAGATGAACCGGATTATGCAGTCGAACACACAGATTCGTAAGTTAACGAATATCACCACCCATTGTCAATGTCTTATACCATGGAGGCCATAGGGACGACAATTAAATGGGCATTCAGACAAAGCTTTTCTATAACTTTCTGTCTTAAGCTATTATAGTTAGCTGCTAGAATGATATTTATGTATATTGATTCGGGCTGTGTAACACTAAACAGAAAATGGACATCAAACTAAGCATTTGTCATTCTTAACCCATGACTAGAACGTTCCAAATACCCTCAATTAGTGGCTAGTGAGAAACAAGTAACTTTTGTTAGTCTACTCTTGATCTATAGAGAGTGGTGATGGTGATTTATCAAAATACAAGGATTCATGTCAATATTTACAAAGGAATCTACCAAACATCTTTCAGCTCGTATTGTATTTGTTTACATATTTTCATTTTCCATCCCCCCCCCCCGGCGAATGTCATGAATTCACTGACCTACAGGCAAGGGCGATTGCAGTATGTATCCAACATTCTTCTCGAGATCCTGGCCGATGTGATCCATACACCAAAGGATGTCATAACCTTTGGTTACCAGCTTGGCCTCTCTTATTCCTCTATGAAGAAACACAACGACCAAACAGACGTGTACCTCGATAGTGTCTCAAGGTCAGGCTTTGGTAAGATGCTACGTGACTGGAGACGACAGGTTCGACCTAGTGAGCAGGTAGATGAACTTCATTTGGCATTGCAAGATGCTGGGTTAGGCCATGCAGCTGAGGTCATCTTACATGAACGTAAGAACCACATTCTACTCTCTCGGGCTTTGTAACACTAATAAATAGTATATTGTTTATATTTCTTATATTGTTAGAAAGATGGAAACGATGATATATTGTCGAACCCCCTTGTTCCAAACCATAGCCAAAGGCACTAATGAAATATTAAAGCTGAAGTATTTAGCGAAGCAATCTGATATGTGCTGGAACTATCTCAAAAACTGCCCAAGCATTGATAGGTACCCATTTAATACACACAGAAAGGAGCATAATAAGTCGGGGAACAAACTTGTCCTATAAAGCATCCAGCAAGGTAATATAACCTGGGACCTCCCATATGGCCACATGAAAGTCCAGTAGGGAATTCCAAATTTGATTGCCCTTTTGGCGTATCATAGTCCAGAGCTACCAAAGTACCTCAATATATGCTTCCAAATCCATTGGAACGCTAATAAATAATGTCAGTACATTTTAAACGACACCATTTACACAAATGATTTTCCGTTACGGCTGTCAGTTCAGGATTAAATTTCAATAAAATAATTCCAGATATTTCTTCTCCCCTATTTTTTTTTTAACCATAACAAATCTAAATATTCGAATTATTTAAATTCCTTCTTTTCTTCCAAATTTTTTTCTTTTGTGAACCAAAAGTTTGTAACACGTCCATATCTTTAAATTATTTAATTTTCTTTCTTTTGTATTTCGTTTTAGTGAGTAGCAGGAGGCGCTTTGCAAAAGTCAAACAAGTATGGGAGTCAAAGAAGTAGGCAGACCTGTCATTTAAATGTCCCACGACCAAGAAGGGATTCAATTGGTTTGTGCATTCAGCCTACGTCTAAACCTGTACTCCAAGTTTGCATGATTTTCAGTCTGAATCTCGAAGTTGCTATTTCTTCCCTTCCATATGCTGGGAGTCATGTAGTTAAGCTACATTTGATGATGATTTCTTGTTAAATCTATTTCATTTTTAAGAAGGCGGTTGAGGTATGAAGTATTACGATCGGTAAACATGTATATGATTTTTTCATGTGTGTGTGTGGGAGGGGGTATATAAATATCTTCCTGTTTAGAATACGTCCTTCGTAGGCCTTGTTCCTTTTTCCTTCCATCTTTCCCTCAATGATATTCAACAAAATTCATCATGCCAAATTCATTTTGTCTGTTTCTCGTGTTATTGCACACTTCCGCTCCTTCCACGCTTTTTGTAGAACATTATCATTTATCGCTTGATCTATCCACCCAACCTATCTTTGCCATCTTCCTCCACATTGAAATGTCAAAACTCTCAACGGTTTAATGTCTTCCTTTTTCAGAGTCCATGCCTCTGATCCATTAGGCATCACACTCCCAAATTATTTACATGTGACAATAATACCATTACATATTTTCGTTATCGTAAGGTTGTGTGAATACCGTTTCTGGTCTGTTGGTGCAATAATTGAATTGACTTCAGTTTTATTTAATTTATTAACCATTAATATACATGTAAAAGCAAAACATACAATAGAAAATAGAATACATACAAAATACAAAGCAAGCATTATGATCAGGACCACAAAGAAGTAAATTGGGCCCCCACAAAAACAAATTCAATTAAATATAATTCAGTCACCATACCCACACTTGTACACACATATTCACACATAGCTACATGGAAACTGTCGTTAGAGAGTTTCAAATAGGAATTTTCGACAAAGCTTTTTAAAACAGGATAAACTTGATCCTTATAGAATTGGGTAATTTATTCCATTTTCTCACGCCTGCAATATTTAATGAATTGAGGGAAGAAGTAAGACTTACTTCGGGTTGATGATGAAAATGTTCTTTTTGACCTGTAGCATATGAATGGATATTTTAATTGGGATAAACATATTACTGTATTTCACATGAAAAATGTTATGCCTTACAGAGTACATACAAATTAGAGTATCGAATGTAATCAAATCGTATAAAGGCAAGATTTGCATCTGTTTAAAGAGTGGTATACTTGGACTTTGCATTTGTGAATTTGTTTTTATTTCTTAGAGACTTTTTCTGTAAAACATATATTTTTTTCAGATGTGATTTATAAGTATTTACCCAAATATAGTTGCAGTAGTTTAGATGTAGTAGAATGTTAAAGGCTATTGAACAGAATATAAAAAACATTACTAGGCAATATAAATTAAGTTTAGAAAGGAAACCAACATATTTTGCTAGTGTTCATAGAAACTCATAATCATTACTATGTTGCTACAATAGTCGTAGTATACATATATATATATTTTTTAGTTGTTGAAAGGTTGTATGAATACTCGGTCGGTTATGTTGCTACAATAATCATATACATATTATAATACTTACAGAAAACATTTTCTTTATTGTAAGGTTGTACCAATACTGTTTCAGTTCTGTTGCTACAATAATACTGTACATGTGATAATAATATCCGAAGATATTATTCATTATAAGTTTGTATGAATACTTTTGTAGTTCTCTTTCAACAATGACAATGTATATAGGAAAACAATTGCAGTCAATATTTCCTTCATTGTAAGGTTGTATATCGATACTGTGGACTGTTACATTAATTATCATGTACATAAAATATTAATTACATAATATATTTTCGTTGTTGTAAGGTTGCATGAATACTGTTCCAGTTCCGTTGCTACAAAAGTAATTTACATGTGATGATTATTGCAGTAGATATTATATTTTTTGTAAGGTTGTATGAACTCTATTTCAGTTTTTTGCTACAGTAATTTTTTACATGATATGATAATCTCAGTATATACTTGTGTTGCTGTAAGGTCGTTTGAATACTCTCTCCGTGCTGTTGCTACAGTAATCATATACATATGGTAATAATTACATAACATATTAAATTTGTTGTCTGACTACTACATCGCTACAATGATGTTGCGCATGAAGTAATAAAGACAATTAATATATGGTTCATCATTGGGTGGTTTAAAAACGTTTCAATTTGTATTGCTAGAATAATGATAATGTTAATAGGACAATCAATACAGATATATTTTTTAACCACGAGGCTGTATAACAAGTGTTTCATTTGATTTGATACAATGGTCATGTATATATATAAGACAATAATTACGGAAGATGTTATCTTCATGTCAACGTTTATGAAGATTGTTTAGTTCTATTGCTACAATGATCATGTATATAAGACAATAATTACAGAAAATGATATCTTCATGTCAACGTTTATGAAGACTGTTTAGTACTATTGGTACAATGATCATGTATATAAGGCAATAATTACAAAATATGTTATCTTCATGTCAACGTTTATGAAGACTGTTTAGTACTATTGCTACAATGATCATGTATAAAAGACAATAATTACAGAAAATGTTATCTTCATGTCAACGTTTATGAAGACTTTTCAGTTCTATTGCTACAATGATTATGTATATAAGACAATAATTACAAAAAATATTTTCTTAATGGCAAGTTTCTATGATGAACATGTATATAAGGTGATAACCGAAATGAATATAAGCGTTATTATTAGTTTGTATGAAAACTACAAAAACATGTATATAAGCTAGCTTATTAATTTCAGAGTATGTTTTGTTTTTAAGGTTTTTCTCATTTGCTGGAATTGTCATGTTCATTATGTAATAATTGCAGTAAATATGTGCTTTGCTATCATGAATCTAAGTTTTGTATGAACACTTCTCCAGTTGTATTGCCTTAGTGATCATGTACATAAAACAATAATATCAGCGGATAGTTTCATTATTGTAACTTTTTATGAAACTGTTTTTGTTATATTGCTATACATCATTTGAATAAGAATTACAGTTAAGTTGTGTGGTTTAGGCAAACTGTTTTTTATGAGATTAGCATTCATTTCATTTAGGCCAAAGAATATCATTTGAGCAATGCCACTTTAAGATGACTACTCATAACAATGCTATCATATTCAAAGTATGAACAAGTAGTTTGAGTGTTTGAAATATGTTTTGATGACACACGTGTGATATCCCATATGTGCCCACATGTATGTGCAGTGTTTTCCTAATGTGTACAATTTTCAGCAAGATTGCATATCGTTATGATTTGTATATGTATTCTTTTCCTTGTAATAGTTTATTTTATATGATATGGTCATTCATGGTTTACTCTCCAAAATAATTTGATATCAGTATATATTTTGTCCACGTTTCAATTTCTTATAGTCAACATACTTTATATTATATATAGTCATTTTATATTTCTTTCGAAATTGTAATGACCGCCTTGACTGCATTTACAATTATTTAACGTTTCTAACATGTCTAAAATTTAGATTTTGTCACGGTTCTAATACCAAGATGTACAGCGGTAAAACCAAACATATAATCTGTAATAAATATATTTGAAAGAACGTAATTTCTATATCTGAAAGTTAATCATCCACATGTATATTCCTATAACATAATCAACATTTCTCAATGACTTGCAGACATTTGTTTTACAATGTACTTGTGAAAACAATTACTTGGATTTATTTTGATGATGTGTCAACGTTTTTTTATGTTGAATTGCTACTATATTCAAGTTTCAAAAATGCAGAGTACATATCTGTATTAAACCATAGTAAGGTTGTAGAAAAGCCGTTTCGGGAGTATTGTATCAATGACCATGAACATATTAGTAAGATATATACAGTAATGTTAGTATTATGTTGTGGTTACATTTTAGTTGCGGTTCCGCAATTACCATTTAAACTAATAGTGTTGTAATAAAGTAATCATTATTGCACATTTTTGCGTATAATCATCATACATGGCCGCGACCTGAGAGACCTGTCAAATGGATCCCAACCGAATGTAAACTTACTTTTAAAAAGTCAAGTTAGAACAAGGCTGCTGATTGCATACTGTCTTATTTGTTTTGTTGTAAAGAGCCCGATCCATTTACATAATCACTCATTTCAGAGTCGGTTTGAGGCTTCAAAGTTGATTGACACAAACATTTTGTTCTGAAGTTTGCCCTTATTAACGACCTTCAGCAAAACAAATTGGGAACCAAAGGGAATGCAAAACGTGCTTGGGACTTTATACCTCCTATAAACGTGTGTGAATGCCTTCAAAACGTATTGAGAGCACTGCCGTGATGCTAGTTCAGAACAAGGAACATTTTGAAAATGATGTTGAATTTTGCTACGAAAGAAAATCCACTTTTATTTTCAATATATTTGTTTTATGTTTCAAGAAACTTTATATCAGCTCCGATTTAGGTAGCAAGATCATTTTTATTTGTTTGGATATAATTTGCCTTTGTATTGGTGAGGTTCTGTTAATTTTTCTTTACTCTCATGCTCCTATATCCATTACTGTGTTTTGTTTTTATTGTGATGATAGCGATATCTCTCATAATTAATGTAATGCGACCATATGTACAGCATCTAATTTCAATTTTCATTTGTTTTTCTTGTGTTGTTTAATTTTTTATTTCTATTTAGCATTTTAAGTTGAGTTTTCTTTTATTTGTTTCCTTTGATAATAATGTTATCTTATCATGCCAGGAGTGATTTCAGTCAATTAAAAAAAATGACTTTGCTTCAGTCATTTAAGAACCACATGGTTTAATACACTACAAATTTCCCACAAGCCATTTTTCCCAAAATGGCTTACTTAAATGATAAGTAAAGGAACAAAAAAAAAATAGTACGTGTATGCTGGCTCTCTATTTTCAAAAAGCACAATATTTCATGGAAGCATTGTATTCATATACTTAGATGTAAGTAATATCAGAATACTGAATATAGAATCTCGCTCTTCTTGTGTTTACTCTGATGTATCATTTATTTTGTTCGTTCACAGAGATGTGAATGCTTTTATTTCTAGACCATTTAGGAGAAGGAAATAGTCTTTTGAGGAAATAAATTTGAAGCATTATAACTGACAAAAGTGTTGTAAATGCCTTGTTATATGTGGGGCGCAGTGGTAAGGGTGTGTGTGTGTGACCGTGTGGTAATCTGAACGGTTTACATCCAACCTCAGAGCCGTTTGTTTACACCTTTCAAAAAAGGAAGAAGAGGAGATGATACTATAACAGTCTATTGTTGCTATGATTTGATTACTGCTCTGTTGTATAGTCGAACAGATTTCATTGCCATAAAGCTAAGCTGCAAAAAATCAAAAGAGGGTCGCAAGAATGATATTGAACAAGACATATGCTTAGGTCACGTTTGCTCTATGGCTAGGAAACGGCAGCCGTAATCGAGAGATACTTGCGACGGCCGCAGAAAATCTGCGGTGGCCTCAGGGTCACCCTAGGGCGTATCCCTATCTGTACAGGCAGTACGGGTCGCCGTGGATTATAACACGGAGTTATAGCAGTCTTGATTTCTAGGTTCACCGTAGCGATTAGACACGCCATAGCCATGCCGTAGAGCGGTTCCACGGCGACCGTACGTCGTGCGTACGGTAGCCTTGCATTTTATATACCTAACTTTTGGGGGTGCAGCGGTAGTATCAGTCTGGCCGCTCGGTCACCGAATGGTCCCCCTTCGGCCGCCTGGCGGGCACCTTGCGGCTAACATGTGTCTGCCTTAGTATTTGTCAAAAAGCTACGGCCGACGCAGGGACCTTGTAAAGCGTTGGTCACATCCCACCGTGCGTGTTTTTAGTCCGTACGGTTTTTGGGGAGG